AGCCCAGTCTGCCCCTTATGGGAGAAAGTCGTTATTTTTCCCTATAATTATTATTACGGTATACCTTGGACATCTTGCGACGCTTCGTGCAACCACAATTATAGACACGTTTGTTTGTTTTCGCGTGGTTTCCTTCAGGAAAAAGATATAAAGGTCAGCTCAATCGATAATAGGCGGCCGCCGCGAATTTACCCGTTAGGGAAATGGAATGCAGTAGATTGCTGCAAAAACAATGCTAAGCTTGCCTGGTTCATCTTGACCCCGCTAGATGACCACACATATTTAACATTCCACGTTTAGGGCCATGGTACCCGGTATAACGCTAATGCAAAGCAGTTTGCGGAGACACTCTCTAATGACAAGCACTGTATCGAATTATAAGCCGTATCTTACCACTGTGTTCTTTGTAGGCGCAAAATCCTTTCGGGGAACCGCTCTTGTCCATGCCGCCCGCCGCACCGGGTCGTTTGGAAACACGTGCACGCGCACGTTTGGCTGTCCTGCGTAGTTCGACCTGCAGTTCGGAGCGCTACAGCAGCCGGGCATTTCTGCACTTCGTTCACACGCACAACCACAGCGAGGAATCGGAAATATACATCTTGCAGGAGTAAACAAAGCACATGCACGCGCGCAAGCCAACCAACGACATCCGAATGCAAGCGAGAGGACGACCCCAACTGCTCCAACGAGCAACTTGGATCATTGTGGTCAGCATAGGTGAAACGAAATTCGACGGAGACGCATGGTAATGCGGCTGCTTAATAATGTTTTACCAATTCGGCGTGCCATTTTTTCAGAATACAGTTGGCTAATTGAAACAGAGTAGTTAAATTCTGCAACTTTTGGCAATGTTTGAGCCCGAATCACTGCAAAAACTAAAAAAGAATGAGTTATTTTGGTTCTAGTCAGTCACTGCGGATGTCACTACGAGCCATCTGTAGCTGTTCTTGTCCGGACTTGTCAGCCTGCTTGTTCACGTGACGCAGACGTTGGCGAGGCTGACTGGGCTGTCGCGCCGTCGGTCCCAGCCAACAGGTGGCGTTGCCCCAGCCATCCGAGCGATGATCTGAGCTTGGTGACGTAGGCGCTTGGGCGAGGAGGCGGCGAGGGGGCCTTAAGTCTTCTAGGTGGTGTTGCTCTTGCCCGGCAAGCTTGGCGTTACGTTTCGCCTCGCAGCAAAAGTCGAGAACACACACCCAGCAGCATCGGCGAGTCGCACGGGAAAGGCGACGCGTACGCAACCAAAAAATATAGACGGCGGAGGAACACGCAGCGCAACGGCGCGTCGCTTTTTCATCCACCACGTGTTATTTACAAGAAGCGGGTCTCCCCGGACGAGAAAGTTGACGGCTACCGCCAACGAAAAAGAAGAGCGCTACGGGACACGCGTGATGTGGATGAACTGCTTGCTGCATGTTCGGAAAAAAAAAAAAAAAAACATCACAAAGCGGCTCTCGGGATTGCCCAAACACCGACCGGGTCTCGAGTAGCTGCTGCTCCAGCTACGAGCGCTCCCGGTCCCGCTGAAAACTTTCCTTCGCGCGAACATCAAGAGCATCTCTTCCGGACGTGGCTTTCTCCTTTTCGTTCGTCGAGGTCTCCGTCACACACATCAAGCAAAATTAATGGCGCCGACAACTTATTGCCGGGTGTTGTACGCGCTACAACAACCAGTTGCAACATCTTTCACCCTCTCTCCTTTCCTTGAAACTAATTTCCCTGCGCGGCACGAACGTGCAGCGGAAGCACAGCGCAAGAGGACGCGTTCCCGGTTTTTCGAGGGAGAGAAGGCCGCGAAGGGGGCTTGCACGCTCGGCCGCAAGTGCGTCGGCGTCACGAGTGAGGCAACCGAGCATGCGTGTATCACGAGACAGCAAAGGTCTGAACGCGCACGGCCATTGGTAATAGCAATGTAATTGTTGTTGGCGTTATAGGTCACGAAATCACGATATGCTCATGAGAGACATCGCGCGAGGACGGATCCGGACCATCCTGGATTCTTTAAGGCACACAAAAAGTACACGGGCCTCTAGTATTCCTCCTCCGTCTAGACACGGCTGTCAAAATTCCATACTGCGACTTTCGGATCTGCCGTCGGACAGTATACCACCACGGCGAGTCACGTGAATGTTTAAGGAAATACCTGAACTAATCACAAGCGCACGGCCATCGCTCTAGCGCATACGACTCTTCGTGAAACGGAGACGCTCAAAAAAAGCGCTGCACGATGGGCTGCGTCATCACCCCCCAAAACGTCCGCACTCGTGAATGCTTGAGTGACGACAAGAAAAAAAAAAAGAAAGCTTTCGATTTCTGGCACTATTGTCACAATAGAACTTAAAATTTGCGAGGTCAGGTCTTCGATACTCCAGCTATATATATATTTTTTTTCGGTAATGAATTATGTAAGCGATACAGAAGACAAGTAGGCGAGGAAACTTTCTCTAAAATTTCCATTGTGTTCATTTTTCTAGTTTATGCGGGCCAGAACTTTTTTGCTGTTACTATTAGCATGGCGTACGTACGGGCAAGCAACTACTGCGAGTAAAACACTGATTTTCTTCTCATCAGTGTGCCTTCAAAAAGACATCGACGCTTGCGACTACCTATCACCGCCACCGACGACGCCGTTCGAAAACTCGAAACACCGACAATAAACATTAAGCTCGCCTTTCCATTTAGAAGACCTCCGCCGCGGGCTAGGTAGGAGAAGACGGGAACGAAAACGACTCGCCAAGGAAGACGGAAACGCGACGTCTCAAACGCAAGGCGGTTTTCGAAGAGAAAGTGGAACCTGCACGGTTGCAACACTATCCGAGGAAAGACAGATATAACGAAGGAGGAGCTGCAATAAGTGAAGCAGGAAAGTAAAGGCACCGGAAGTAAGCAATGGTTCGTCCGACGGAAAAGGCACGGACAGTACTACGAAGAATAAAAAAGGAAAGACGCCGCATAAAAGAAGGTCGTTGCCGGCTTCGTCGTTTGGCGTTGTGTCTGTGTTGTATTGTAGCCAGCGAAGAAGCTAGATCTGTGGCGACAACTGCGCACAGTCCTATGCAGTCTGTGTCTCGCCACTGATCAGCCCGGCGTGACACGGCCACTTACGGGTGGAACACGCTTCTGATAAAAGGCAGCGCCACCGCAGTTCCGCCGGAGGCTCATGAAACCCAAGCTCTGTGCTCACAGCGTCAGCATGCTTGCTGCGCTGCTGCTACCCAGTTAAGCTGGGCATGCGTCCTTCTCTCGACACGGCATCCCCCATCTGGTGACGTAATCCGAACACGAAACCTTCTGTATCCCTGGTAGCAGCTAATGTCCGAACCACTGTCAACCAGATAACGCTGCTTAGTTATTTAGTCAGGGACAAATATGCGACGGCTTCCGGGTAGGCAGCAAGATGGTCGACATTGTCGGTCTTTGTTCCCAAAGCGTCAATGGTAGAAAAACAACCGTTCTCGGCGAATGGTGGCATAAACGCGTCGTAAGGTGTTGGTGTAGTTGAATGTATATGAGCTCGTTGATGCGGCGCACAATCTCCGTGGTGTTTGGCGCAGTGGTCTGGACGGAGGGTAACGGCTGTAGCAAAGATACCGGCAAGCTGGTCGAGAGGTATCTGTGGCTGCAGGAACGAATCTTGGTCTCCCATGTAACCGGCGAGAGCACGCATGTAGCGAAGCAACTGCGAAGGCGTGCGCTCGTTGAGTTCCACTGACTGAAGTTGTCGTACCTTTTGGTCGTCCGAGAGTGACAGCCGGCGTTCAGGTACGGTTTAGCGGTTGGCGAGTTGATGAGGACGTTCCTGACCTCGTTGGCGTGGCGGGCGTAGAGGTGGGCAACGACATAGTCGTAGCGTGTTCGGTCTTGTGTGATGCGTGTGAGGGAGAGTTGGGCCTCGACATGGGCAGACCATACTTCGGGCGAGTCCACCCAGAATGGCGGAAAGTTGATAACGCCTTTCAGATGCCATTTGCGGAGTTCAGTGTAGCCGGCAGGCACGGGCGAAGTTGAGGAGTCGTCACCAGGGTGCTGCTGCACGGAATATCACGGGTTGGTGCGGCCGTTCCTGAAGCGATTGCCCTTGCTTCTGGATAAATCCGTGCTCGGTACGCAGCTGCTTCTGTAATTGTTCAAGCAGTTGTTGTAGGGCCTCTTGCTCATCCATGGCGTTGCATTGCCTTCGGATTCTGGGTCACCAGATGTGAGATGCGGGGTCGATGAAGGACGGATCCCAACATAAAACCTAATGATTCTTTCTCTAACCTCTCGAGCACAGCGGTGGCATGCTTGCCCCGTTTATAAACGATCATTCGGTTTTATGTTGAAATCCGTCCTTCATCAACTCCGCACCCCACAGATTGATTGATATGTGGGGTTTAACGTCCCAAAACCGCCATATGATTATGAGAGACGCCGCAGTGAAGGGCCACGGAAATTTCGACCACATGGTATTCTTTAACGTGCACCCAAATCTGCATCCCACAGGTCGATCACCTATTCATTCCGAGTCTCAGCGTGGAATCGGGACGTCGGGAGTCGCTTCGGGACGTCAAAACCCATTAAATCAACCAAATCAAACCCCTTACTAAAAGGAGGCACTTTTTTTCGAGTTCAGCCTCTTCGTGGGCTGTGCTTTCGCTGCATTTTAAGCATTAACAAGCACAAGTTATTTATTTGTGGGCTGTGCTTTCGCTGCATTTTAAGCATTAACAAGCACAAGTTATTTATTTGTGGGCTGCGTTTTCGCTGCATTTTAAGCATTAACAAGCAGAAGTTATTTATTTAATTATTTGGAATGAAAAGGCCGTTAGAACAAACGGTAAGTAACGCATTCTGCAAGGCCTATTGTGTAAAGTTAGTCCAGCCCGATGCGGTAATCGGCCGAACTTCACTTGTAATGCAGGACGAATTCTCCACGCGGAGATCATACCGGGCGCATATTGACGTGATACTGAAAATAACGACAAGACAGTCCCAAACGCCTGCGCATGCCGTACACTTACATTTTTGCAGTTCCTCAATTTCTGCACTCTCGTCGTCCGACTCGGTTCCGGAATCGTGATCGTCATCAGTCTGGAAAAAAAAGAAAAAGAAAAAAGAGAGACTACGTTTAGGATGATGACAATGATGCACTGTGTCTGTTGGCACAAAGTCCACGCACGGTGAAAAAAAAAAAAAAAAACCTGGGAAAGAAACAAGCAGACACCACCGAAGGAGCCGGGTGAATATCAACGATGCTGCACGCAACACACAACGCCAACAGTCAACGAATCCCAGACTATGCGCACCCAGAGGCAAAGTCAACAGAAAGAGAAGGCGAGAAGGTTAGTTATGCTCACTTTAAAAACAATAAAGAAAGAAATGGCCACACGGTTACTTCTATGAATAAAAGGGGGCATAAAAGAGCGAGTTTATACCTTCTTCAGGGTCTCTGTCATGACTAATCTCAAGTTACGGAGCGGCAGCAGCTTCATTGCTGTTGGTTCGGGTGCTGTGAAGACATGCAAAGAAAAAAAAAACACAAACAAAGAAACATGAAATCAAGCTGCCACCATTTCAACAGAAAGCATGCACAGCCACACACTCGCATGCACGTCATTTCGAACCCCTTAAAACTGCAAAATTCATATAAGCGTCCTATACCACAACTAAGTTGTGCAACACATTCCCTTATACATAAGGGCGGTTTTTATTTTCTACGCATACCTGATTACGTTACCGGATACGGGAAGGATTCTGCGCATGCGCGGGCCTTTACGGAGCGTAGGTATTTGTGAAACGTGAGCTACTAGGATAGGCTCTACATCTGCGCCAGTCAGGCGCGAACGTAAAAGCAAATCCACCTTCGTTCGTGGCTACCCACGCTTTCCACGTTGCAGACTCCATCCAGTCCCCGAGTCATAAGCCGAAGTGCAAGCGGTCATCTGGTTTCAGCCGGATAACAGAAGCTAGAGAGGTCTAAAGCACCTGGCAGGCTTTGGGCGGTGGCGCCTTATATTGGGGCCAAGATGAACCGGGCAAGCCCAAAATACTTCAGAAACATTAGACAGTTATAGTTAACCGTTGGCGTGATAGGGGAGGTCAAGAGAATGGTGTTACTGTGCAGCAAACGTTCCTTGTGGACAGCGTCTTATAGTTAAACGGGATAGCGTTTACGTGGTTTACGTGCCCCCAGCTTCAAGCCCCTGTACCTTTGAGATGGTGGCGCCACCTATCAGAGGATTGATCAGTTAAAAAACATTGAAAAGGAATGAAACGAGAACGTTTGCCTGTGTCACTGCGCGAAGCGCTGTTACAAGTTTGTTTTAGTAGATATAAAAGTACATTAACATGAACCACGCACCACACGTGAAAACATTTATGTTGCCGATTTGTTTGCATCGATCTTGTAGTTACGCCCAGACGCGTTCGAAATGGGAAGCTATCTCAAAAACTACGCCAACGTATGCGTAATACTCGGTCGTCGAAGCTAACTGAAGGCAAGCGAAGCCACTTTAAAAAGTGGTTTGCTGCGAACGAGGTGAATCTTTAAACAACTGCGACAAAATCACTTCGAAGCGGGCGTCCGAGAGCGCCGTGATGTTTACATACACTACGTACACCTACGCTACCACAGTAACGTTAAATCTGAAAAATACCACGCGTACGGAAGGCGGTACGGGTAGCGTACGTATCTGCGCATGCGCACTTCGATTCCGCTATCACGGTGCACCCGGTATCTCGGTAAGCCCGGTATACTATAACTGCCTATTGTGCATTCTTCTTCAGCTGTGGATGTCTTGGGGCGGCATAATTAGTATGAGTTATCTTGCATTGATTTCTTTTTACTCAAGAACACTAGGCGAAAACAAACGTTTTCGTGGCTGCAGTTGCACGAACCGTCACAAGATGACACTATCATACGGTAGTTCGGCATTCCTACCACCATTTGCGCTAACGAGAAGCTGTGCAGGTTGAAAACCCTCTTTAAGACTAAATCACCACTGCAGCAAAATCTTACCTAAATTGTAGTTGAAATGCTGTTACGATAACCATTTAGTCGCTTGCGCGAAAGCGAAGGTGCGTGTTTGCGTGTATACGTAAACGATTGCGTATGGGTAGGTAGGACGCTGCTAACAAATGCATTTCGGTAACACTGTAAACGCCATCCGCTATTCCGGTTGCACGGCAGCGTACAAGCTGAAAACACAAGGCCTGCGCAAAACGCGCAGCACAGTCACAGCAAAAGCTGCAAGAGCAGCTTTTCAGAGAATTTTCTAATCACTCCTTGGGTAACTGCTACAAACACGCTTGCTGGGTACCCACTACGCCGTATATAATCACAATATTTGTGTAGTTGGCCGGCATTCACTATGCTATCCTTAGTCATGCTTCGCAGAAATGGTTTGTAGTATTGGACGACCCACTCGTTACGCAATTCGCAATGTTACATGTAACGTCTGGTTCTTCCTTTGCTGTTCTAAAACGCTTTATTAGTCGTATTAACGTCATTTTTTTCCCGACATCAAGCCTACCTCAGGCAAGTTTGGAATCGAGTACCAATGTGTCACAGTGGTAGAATACTGGGCTGGCACGCAGGGGACCTGGGTTCCAATTGTGTCCCTGGCGTTCTTTACTAAAGACGCGAGTGTTTCTTGGGAAACTTCAACGCAAAAATCTTGGTCTGTCTGTCTACTTGTCTCTTTACATTATATTCTGTTTGACTTAAATTCCAAAATCCAACCTCATCCTTAGCGCCCAACAATATTGCTTTGGTTTCTGCGTTCATACTTGTGCGTAGTATAGATTTAAAAAATGGCAAAGCCATGAGTTTCGCCTTTAAAAGAGTTGAACGCGATAGCGAAATCCGGCCCCACGTGCGCCCTTCAGCCGCCAAGTGCATATTTATTGATGTGTTTTGTCACACACACACGCACACAGTAGATTGTACGAGCGCGCGCGCGCGCGAATGGTACATACAGTTTTTTTTTTTTTATCTAAAGCAAGAGTAGCGTGGCTTCCAAAATACACGCCACGCGATCGCCATTTCGAATGCCATGAAGTATCACAATGCCTCACTGATGGCAGCACACTATCTAGCATTTGTTGTTTGCTTGATCAACGCCTATAAAAAGGCATGATATGTTTTCCGCTAGATTGACATAGTTATCCATTTTTTAGAGCCGTTTTAAAGTTCCGGTGGGTTTTTAGCCCCGATGGCTGCACTATCCCGGCCTTTTCGACGTATAGTTTGGTGGCCTCCCAAATGCGCCTACAAATCGCTGAATGGGCTCGTTTTCGTCGAGACATCTGTCGAACAAAATGCGTTAGGGAGACTCTTTCGACTACAAGGCATTTATGCAGTGTCTTTTTCCGAAGCAGCCGCAAGTTACATCGTGCATTTGCGGCAGGACGCCTGCTTTCCACTCGAACGGCCCGGGTTCGATTATCAATAGGACCGAAACTTTTATTCTTCATTTTCTTTGCTTCTTTTTCGATTTTTCGCTCACAACCAACCATGCCGACGCCAACGGCGGAATTTCTGCGACACGAGCTCCCTAACGTTATCGCGTTAAAATCAAATGTTCCGCACATCTGAGGCAGAACATCAGCACGACAATATACTGTGGCGTGTTTCTTTATAGCATAATAAAAGTTATACATCAGTAATTCTAAGGAGCATAGCGTTTATTACTATAGACTGGCAATGCAACGCTATGCACGAAAAGGCGGGTGTTTCCTGCGCTTCGCCAAGACGGCGGTGGGACCTGCCCGCTGCACCCGTCGAGGCACTGCCTCCAGAATCTCATTCACCAAATTTCTCGCGCAGAACAGCAAATGAATATTTTCTTCACTCTCCAGACGGAAGACTATCGTCATTCGACGCCGTTCATAGTGAAACATGCAGATACAGGGACAATTTTTTTTTACGAAGTGTTTTTTTTTTCTAATTCGTACGATAGTGGTTACAGACACCGGCGGCGGCGGCAAACTAGAGCGCCGCACGTGAACCATGGTTGTAATCTCATAACAGCTTTCCCTGTAAAAGAAATCTGCACGAACGAAGAAGGGCACCCCAGACGTTGCATGCTCTCGGCTGCTGAGCCGCAGGTCGCGGGTTCGATTCCAGGTTGCGGTGGCTGCATTTCCGATGGAGGCGCAAATGTTGTAGGCCCGTGTACTCAGATTTGGGTGCACGTTAAATAACCCCAGGAGGTCAAAATTTCCGGAGCCCTCCACTACGGCGTCTCTCATAATCAAATGGTGGTTTTGGGACGTTAAACCCAACAAATCAATCAATCAGACGCTGTATGCTATAGTTTCCACGAAGATCAAGTGGGAGACATCTTTCATTCCGACACGCGAAGTAATGAAGCATTACATAAGAGCATGAAAAACCTGCGAGAGAACATTGCTCAGCAAAGCGACGCGCAAAGCATTATGTAAGGTCATCCGCTTTTTTTTTTTTTTCACCCGTGGCAGCAGGTAAATTCATCCCACAATAAAATGCATCGGGCAAAGGGAAAGTGACAATCTAATTTCAGTCGTAGAAAAATAGTACGCTTACGAAACCTCGCGGAGTTATACCTCCGACCACTGTATTAAGTTGTGCCTGAACAAATCTTGAGGATGTAGCCGCCTGTTTTCGGAAAACGTCTGATAATTCTACTGTGTCCATATAGATATTTATACACTGAGGTCTGACGGCAGTAAGTTCAGTTCACAAGTATCATACGAACAGTTTTGTTTTCAAGCACTTTCAAAGTGCTCTATACAGTGACTTTGACATAGTTTCTAAGTAGAAACTCGACAACAGTCGTAATTTCAATGTGTATGCTGAACAGTGGTTTAACTGACTAAAGTTTTCTGGACTGAATCCAGTCAGATACAACTTCTTGCTCTCTCTCTCTCATCTGGCTATCACGCTTTCGCCATTACCCCAGCATTTGTAGCAAACCCATTAACCTCACTGCTTTTTGCCCGTCTGTCTCATTCCTACACAGTCTTCAATCAGCCGCCGCAGGTGCTCACATACTCACGAACCCCTAAGAACATTCGTAGATGATAACTTAGGATATAGGCAGGAACATGATCTGCCATCTGAAAGAACACGCACGTGTTGCCTATCTATTAAAAGACTGCCTTCGTATCCAGACAATCGAAGTCGAAGCAGGCAAATGTGGTATCAACTTCATTTGGTATGAATACGCGGATATGAACAAAAATCTGCTATCTCCTAGCAGCTCAGTATTGTGACCAATCCTAGACAGCAAAAAAATATAAAAAGGCAACGTATAGCATAGATCTACACATGTCTACTTTTACATTTCTACTAAACATTTATAGTTCCCATATGTAGCGGAGTAGTGAACAAAAGACAAAATATACGTCGAAATTACTGCTTGACAATTATTTAGTCCACGGTCTGTTGTGTCACTGGCGAAGTGGAAGCAGAGCGAGGTTGCAACACGAGGCATTCCATAACGTTCCCAAAAAGCAGTAAAGAATCGC